CACTGTGCGCTTCAGCATGCGCTGACCCCACTCTGTCATGTGACGTGGCCTGCCACTTGGTGGCTGAGTTCCTGTTGCTCCCAGTTGCTTCCACTTTGTTATAATCCCACTAACAGTTGAGTGTGGAATATTTAGTAGACAGGAAATGTCACGGATGGATTTATTTCATAGGTGACAACCTATCATGGGACCACACTTGGAGTCACTGAGCTCCTGCGAGCGACCCATTCTTTCACCAATGTTTGTAGAAGCACTCTGCATGCCTAGGGGCTTGATTTTATACACCTGTGGCCATGGAGGGGATTGGAACACCTGAATCACATGATATGGAAGGGATTGGAACACCTGAATCACATGATTTGGAGGGCGGGGACAATACTTTTGGCAATATAGCGTATATAAGCTAATCAGCCATACTTTATGATCACACACCTAACATTGAGTAGGTCCCCCTTTTGCCCCCAAAACAGCCCTGACCCATCGAGGCATGGACTCCTTTAGACCTCTTGTAACGTAATGGAAATGTAAGATTTGAGTGGATAAAGATTTGATCAGTGGCAATATATAATTATAACCATAGTGCATTCACATGGGACATAAAGGTACAGATTTGAGTAGATTAAATGTAGATTCAGCCTTTTTCATTAAGGATGTGTTTTAAAATGTAATTGTAACTGTAGGGACATTTCATTATTGTCATTAAGGATGTGTATTGAGTCCTTGGCATTTGGGAAATGACAAGACATTACAGACAGTGGTCATCAATTAGCATTTGGCTTCTGAAAAGCCTGGCTTCCCCAGGAAGTGTCAGCTTTGTGCTAAATAAAGTTTTTGTCACCTTCTGGGGAAACCTGTTTAGGAGAAAGTGGCTCCAGACAGTTATGCTTCATGACAGCAGGGAGCTAAAAAATATCCATTCATCAAAGAAGTATGTTTAATATCTCATAAAAGCTGGAAAATTAGTTGGAGAGATATGAACATGCTCCCTTCTTGCAGGGCATTCTGTGCACTGCATTTGCATATAAAAATCATATTTGTGGCTTGCGGAGAAAGCCAGGAAAATGCAGGGGATGGTTAGGTGGCGCTGGGTTGCGACAGTCAGATGGTGTTTGGTACTGTCACGATCAGGCTGATGCGCTGGTGTCGGAAATCCAATCCTCGACTTGGTGGTTGGGCCGGCCTTGGCCCAATTGAACTTGGGCAGGTCAGCGCACAGTACATCCTGTGGGCAGGTCAGGACCACCCCCCCCATGGTCAATTAGCCGAGGACTAATGTCCCGCCTACTTCCATATCCCATAAAAGGAGTACCCTGACACTGGGATATCTGTAATTCGTAGGGAGCTGGTCAATCGACTAACGGATTGCTGATTTTCTGACTTGCTCCAGGCGCAGGGTAAAGTTTTTACTACTGTCTTTTATTCCGTTTTTATTTTATAGTGAATAGTCATTTGTGTGTCTTCTTGTATTTTTGTAACTTTTTATATTTTGTACATATTTTATGCACTGCCCACTTCGGGAAATTAAATCTTAAAATAATTAGTGACTTCTGTGTATTTAAGAACGTGCTCATATCTTCAGAGAGATTAGATTGGATTAGATTGTATTGTATTTTAGCGCCTTTAAAACACTCGGTTAAGCTCATTGCCAATCTGTTGCAATTGCTCTGTGTGTGGGCAGATTGCGTGCAGATTGTAAAAGGTAACAGATCGGCCAGACGGAGATCTCTGTGTGTGTGTGTGGTGTCCCAGCAGACCATTCTGCGGATAAACTGCTGGGTGGTGGCAGGCTACCTTTTGTGGTGTGTCTGGTGCGGGGGGGGTGTTTGGAGTGGAGGGGTGATTAACACCGGGGTTCAAGCTGTAGAACAGTGGAGGGACTCTAGAAGGGTAATTACTAGGCTGCTCCTCAACCCCAATCAGTGCACCAGAGTGTATATAAGATTTGTATCTGCCTGTGTGTGGTCCACCAGCTGGATTGGAGCGGAGTCTCCATCTGGTGGTGGACAGAGGTAGTGCGGGCTGTGAAAGTGTTTCACGGCTGATCTTATATACGGTTTTATATATTCAAAGTTAAGTCCCCTTTATGGCCACTGCCATCAGAAAATATTGTTACCATGAAGGGGTGTCAAAGTCAAAGAAAAGTAATACCTCGGTTTACGAATTTAATTCGTTCTGCGGGACTTATCGTATTGCAAAATATTTGTAAATGCCATTTCCCATAGGAATGCATTGAAAACCAATTAATCCATTCCGAAGGTCAGAAAAAAGTAAACGCTACTAAAATACAGCATGAGTTATTTTATCAAGTCATGCGGTATTTTAGTAGTGACAACCATGTGTTAATGTTTCAGCTGTCAGCGGGGTTCTCCACTGAGAGTTGAATGTAAAAGAATTGCCGGCAATGAAAAAAATAATTTAAAAACGGCATGAGGACCCCCCTCCCATCCATACCAAGCCCTTTTGGGTCTGGTATTGATTTGAGGGGAACTCTCACACCAAAAATTAAAAAAAAAAAAAAAAAAAAAAAAAAATGGCTTGGTGGTCCCCCCCCCCCCAAATCCATACCAGACCCTTATTCGAGCATGAAGCCCAGCAGGTCAGGGAAGGGGACGAGAGAACGCCCCCCCCCCCCTCCTGAACCATACCAGGCCACATGCCCTCAACATGGGGGATGCTTTGGGGTAGGGGGGGCTGTCCTGTGAGAAACCTGAAGGGTTAATTATTAAAACTGGAGGGTGCAAAATCTGGTGCAGCTAGCAACATGGCAGCCAGTCAGCTTCTAACTTCATCTTGTTCAATTATGCTTTGACAATAAAACCTGGAAGCTGATTGGTTTCTATGCAGAGCTGCACCAAGCAGTTTTAATACATCCCCCCCTTCCCAGTGTGTCTTGAGCCTCAAAGCAGTATCCTTGTTTTGCTGGGAAGAAATCAATGTATGCCTACAGAGGGACAGTGGGTGATAAGTAGAAGGGCTGCCAGTGCTGGGTAGGATTTCAGTGACCCAGAGGCACTGTGTTATCAGCCCAAACAAGAAGTCGGGAGCATACTGGATTTCTTTCAGGTCAGCAGAGAAATTTTGCAGCATGTTTAACCACTTCAATACTGGACACTTTTATCCCCTTCCTGCCCAAATCAATCTTCAGCTTTCAGTGCTGTCGCACTTTGAATGACAATTGCGCAGTCATGCAACATTATAACCAGTGGGGTTTTTATTTTTTGCTAAACAAAAAAAGACCAAAAATTTTGAAGGAAAAAAAAAGTTTGTCTTTGCTTCTGTTAAAAAGTTTTGTAAATACAGTATCTCACAGAAGTGAGTCCACACTTTTTTGTAAATATTTTATTATATCTTTTCATGTGACAACGCTTAACTAATGACACTTTGCTACAATGTAATGTTTCAGGGTCTTGGCAATGACGCTGAGCACGTGCACTCCACTTCTTTGGTGGACCATGGTGAGGCCTGTTCGGAGTGGAACCTGTCCTGTTAAACCGCTGTATGGTCTTGGCCACCGTGCTGCAGCTTAGTTTCAGGGTCTTGCCAATCTTCTTATAGCCTAGGCCATCTTTATGTAGAGCAACAATTCTTTTTTTCAGATCCTCAGAGAGTTCTTTGCCATGAGGTGCCATGCTGAACTTCCAGTGACCAGTATGAGAGGGTAAGAGCGATAACACCAAATGTAACACACCTGCTCCCCATTCATACCTGAGACCTTGTAACACTAACAAGTCACATGACCCCGGGGAGGGAAAATGGCTAATTGGGCCTAATTTGGAACTTATCACTTAGGGGTGGAGTCACTTTTGTTGCCAGCGGTTTAGACATTAATGGGGGTGTGTTGAGTTATTTTGAGGGGACAGCAAATTTACATGTTATACAAGCTGTACACTGACTACGTCACATTGTAGCAAAGTGTCATTTCTTCAGTGCTGTCACGTGAAAGAGAGAATCAAATATTTACACAAATGTGAGGGGTGGAGTCACTTCTGGGAGATACTGTAAGTGATTTTTCTCCTTCACTGATATGCGCTGATGAGACTGCACTGATGGGAATTGACAGGCATCACTGAAAGCCAGCACAGATAGGGCTACATTGATCATCATGACACTGATGATTAGTGCCCTGATGGTCCGTGTAGATGTCCCCCTGAGAAATGCCACTTACCGGCTCTCCTCTCCTCATGCACTGTCAGCTTGAGGAGAAGACTGTCAATAACTGGCATTTCCTGTTTACATGTGATCAGTCACATGTAAAAAGAGGCTCTAATTGGCCCCCTACTTTGACACGTGATCAGCTGATCACAGATCGTGAAGGGGGGGGGGGGAGGGGTGGATTCCCAGAACTTGCTGACCGCACTGTAGCCGTTGTTTGGCTATAGCGCAGTTGGGAAGTGATTAAAGAAGTGAAACCCGGGAAGTGTACATGTATTGGAGAAGATACCAAATATATTTGATTTTTACCCTGATATACTCTAAGTCTTTCAATTTACTGTCAGTGATAAAATAATATACACACAAATACAGGATAATAATCCAGATATAATCTTTACCGGCATTCGGTGCGATTACGATAAAAAAGGAGCTAGTTCAGCATCAAGTCAGTCTTCTCATGGTGAGATCTAGAGACATGGCTTCTATCCCGTGTGCACACGCTGATGCCTGATGAGACAGATTTTCCAGGTAAAACATTTCCCACACTCTGAACACGAATACGGCTTTTCTCCGGTGTGAGTTTTCCGGTGCGAAGTAAGATTTGCCGAGGTGGAAAAACCTCTCCCACAGTCGGTGCAGGAATATGGCTTCTCTCCGGTGTGACTTCTCTCGTGTGTAATGAGATTGCTTTTCTGAGAAAAACATTTCCCACACTCCCGGCATGAAAAAGGCTTTTCCCCCATGTGACATATTTGGGGTTTGGCAAGTCCGTCTTTGTCAAGAACACCTTTCCCCGAGTCAGGCCAAGAGCACATCTGCGTTTTCTTATGCATTTTAAGACTGGACAGCTCAGAGAAACATTTCCCACACTCAGGACATGAATATGGTTTCTCTCCCGTGTGTGTCCTCTGATGTCTAGTAAGACTATGCAGTATGGAAAAGCATCTCCCACATTCCAGGCAGGAGAAGGGCTTCTCTCCCGTGTGGACACGTTGATGGTAGATCAAGGCTAGTTTCCGGGGAAAACATTTTCCACATTCAGAACATGAAAATGGCCTCACTCCGGCGTGAATTTTCTGGTGCATTGTTAAAGAATATTTCTGTGTAAAACATTTTCCACATTCAGGACATGAAAATGGCTTTTCTCCAGTGTGCGTTCTCTCGTGTTTAATAAGAATGGATGATAGGGTAAAACATTTCCCACACTCCGAACAGGAATAAGGCTTTTCCCCTGTGTGATTTCTTTGGTGTATCTTAAGATGAGCTTTATTGGGGAAATTTTTCCCGCATTCGGAACATAAAAATGTCTTCTGGGTAGAGGAACCAGATGACAAATCTGCACCATGAGGTGTTGGATAGAGATTTGGGGTAATAGAGTTTTCTTCTAAAGAATTGGATGTGATGTCTTTCGTCTCCTGTTTTACCATATGTCGAGATAACAGCAATTTTCCCAATGCTATAGTTTCTGTGTTGTCCATCTGTGGGGAATAAGAAGGGACAACTATTCAAGTGTATGAAAAAAAAAAAAAAAACACACAACTTATACCTAGTATTTATTTTTGTTATATTATTACAGGTACTTCTATAGCGCCATTAATTTACGCAGCACACACACATATTATTATTATACAGTATTTATATAGCGCCAAAGGGTTTGCTCAGCGCTGTACAATAGCGAGGGGGACAGAACAGAACAATAGACAATACAATACACAAGGGGTTCGAGGGCCCTGCTCTTTCGAGCTTACAATCTAGGAGTATATATATATATATATATATATATATATATGTACATACATACATACACACATACATGCACATTATACACACACACACATTATGTATTAACAGAATTTATAGCATGCACTGCCCCCTTTGCAAAGCTGAGACCTGCCAGTGTTATGGATTGTTCTCAATCATCGTCTGGGAAGACCAGGTGATGTCAATCTCAAAGGTTTTAAATGCCCAGACTCATCTGACCTTGCCCCAACAATCAGCACCATGGGTTCTTCTAAGCAGTTGTCTAGAAAACTGAAACTGAAAATAGTTGACGCTCACAAAGCTGGAGAACACACACACACGTATACACATACATATATACTGTATATACACACACACAATAGATTCAATACATATATATTACATTCACATCAGTCCTTAACCCTCAAGGTACTACAATCTAAGGTTCCTAACTCACATTCATACACACACATACTAGGGCCAATTCAGACAGGATCCAATTAACCTACTACACAAAAATGGCAACCGACCCAACCTATAACCTAGCGTTAGAAGTAAGGTGCACATGGAAGGGGATGGTTACCATGAATGCCAACATGTACTATGACATACTGAAGCAGAGCATGATCCCCTCCCTTCGGAGACTGGGCCACAGGGCAATATTCCAACATGATAACGACCCCAAACACACCTCCGAGACCACCACTGCCTTGCTAAAGAAGCTGAGGGTAAAGGTGATGGTCTGGCCAAGCATGTCTCCAGACCTAAACCCTAATGAGCATCTGTGGGGCATCCTCAAACGGAAGGTGGAGGAGCGCAAAGTCTCTAACATCCACCAGCTCCGTGATGTCCTCATGGAGGAGTGGAAGACGGAAAGTGGCGGAGTGCAAGGTCTCTACCATCCACCAGCTCCGTGATGTCGTCATGGAGGAGTGGAAGAGGACTCCAGTGGCAACCTGTGAAGCTCTGGTGACCTCCATGACCAAGAGGGTTAAGGCAGTGCTGGAAAATAATGGCGGCCACACAAAATATTGACACTTTGGGCCCAATTTGGACCTTGTCACTTAGGGGTGGACTCACTTTTGTTGCCAGCGGTTTAGACATTAATGACTGTGTGTTGAGTTATTTTGAGGGGACAGCAAATTTACATGTTATACAAGCTGTACACTGACTACGTTACATTGTAGCAAAGTGTCATTTCTTCATGTTGTCACATGAAAAGATAGAATCAAATATTTATTTATTTATTTCATGTACTTATATTGCGCCATCAATTTACGCAGCACTTTACATACATATTGGACATTCATATCAGTCCCTAACCCTCAAGGTGTGTGTACAATCTAAGGTCCCTAACTTACATTCATACATACTAGGGCAAATATTTACAAAGATTTGAGGGGTGGACTCACTTCTGGGAGATACTGTATATACTAGAATGTTTTATTTATTTTTTATACTTCTAAGGCGGGCTTGTTCCAACCGCTGGCATGTATACAAGTTTTGGGCAATTGTTAGACATTTTGGCACCCCTAAAGAAACCTCAAGGCACCTGAGGGCGCCTGGACCTGGTTGAGAAAGGCTGGTCTAGAGCAACACAGTGCTCTGGGCTGTGATTGGACACAGCCAATTGGCAAGTCCCATCCATGAATCATTGGCTGGGACCTGCTGACTAACCCTGCTGTGTACAATCACAGTGGGAGTCTGCACACATGCATGCCCTGCACCCGGAACAGGCCAGCGATGTACAGGTATGTCACTGTGCCTCTACAGGCTGCCCATCTGCAGTACATTGTTAGCGGGCGATCCGCAAGTGAATAAAGTGGAAGGTCAAAATCTAACTAAAGCTAAACCCTACTCCAATCCCCATTCTATCAAAACACTGTAAAGAAAAGATCTGTATACAGGTGTAAATATATAGACACAGCGCCAATAAATTATATATAAAGCTGCAAACCTAACCAAAGAAAAGGTAAGTGACAAAAAATATATAAAGGAATGCGCTAAATACCAAATCACATGAAAATGCAAATAAATACATAAGTAAAATAAAAAAATATATCTTTAAATGTCCTTAATTCATATACAAGTCCAAACACCAATATAAGTGATTGAAAAAATCTCTTCAAACAAGAAAAAAACACCGTGTAGCAAAATCCACCACTGAATGAAATGGGTAAACTCACCAGAGCTATTTGCTGATCAAATTATAAATCAGCAAAAATAGCAATTGCTCTGGGAGCGATGATCTGTTGGAGTATCCAGGAGCAATAGACTGCAATCAGCCAAATCAGTACACATGGAACAGCCTTAACTGCAAGTGGTCATCATGCCTTCATAACTTTGGAAATGCTCGGGAAATCAAAAAAAAAAAAAAAAAAAAGGAGTATCATGGTGCAGTATATTAAAACAAAGATAATTTTTATTGTAGCCTTAAATATGCACTCACAAGAAAGGTGTCCAACCGACACCAGCAATATCCGTCTCAAAAAGCTAAAGCAGGGACGAGCCTCGCTCACCGCGATCACAGCCGACAGTCTCGAGGAGCGTCCTGACGTCACATCCACTAAGCCCCTCCCTACGCGTTTCGTCATCCGACGTCTTCAAGGGGTGGCATGGACGACAGACGTCGAATACCAACATATTTACACACTAAATCTGCATTGCAGCAACGCTACAACCAATCGATAAGCAGCATTGTGGTGACACAATACCGCTCGATCTCTGCAGATATATCCATTATTGAGACAAATAACATATTAAAGAGCTGATAAAAAATATGAAATAAAAATGAAAATATTCACATAAAAAATAAATTGATAAAATGCAATCAATATAAAAAATAATCTAAATTTTTTTAAAAAATATTAAAACATATATAATCACTATATGACCTCCTATTATTTAAAGGGCCAGTTTAATTAATAATGTCAAATAATATAAACAACCCATAAACATATAATAAATATCTGCTAATGCATATTCTAAAGAAATATATAAAAATAATTAAATTATATTATATCGGTCTGTAATAATCAACTAGATGACAACATCTAGTTTTTTTTTTTTTAGACTGATATTGCTGGCTACAATAAAAATTATCTTTGTTTTAATATACTGCACCATGATACTCTTCTTTGATTCCCCGAGCATTTCCAAAGTTATGAAGGCATGATGACCACTTGCAGTTAAGGCTGTTCCATGTGTACTGATTTGGCTGATTGCAGTCTATTACTCCTGGATACTCCAACGGATCATCGCTCCCGGAGAAATTGCTATTTTTGCGGATTTATAATTTGATCAGCAAATAGCTCTGGGTAAGTTTACCCATTTCATTCGGTGGGTGGATTTTGCTACACGGTGTTTTTTCTTGTTTAAAGAGATTTTTCAATCACTTATATTGGTGTTTGGACTTTATATATGAATTACGGACAGTTATAGATATATTTGCTATTTTACTTATGTATTTATTTGCATTTTCATGTGATTTGGTATTTAGCGCATTCCTTTATATATTTTCTGTATACAGGTGTACCTCAGTTTACGAATTGAATGCGTTCTCCGGGACGTTTCGTAATGCGAAAAATTTGTAAACCGAAATGCGGTTTCCCATAGGAATGCATTGAAAACCAATTCATCCGTTCCGGAGGTCAGAAAAAAAGTTTAAAAAAAAGGTCGCTGTCACTACAGGTCATGCCAGTTTTTAAATGTAATTTCTGGCTTTTTTTTTCCCTCACTATAGTTCAGAGAATCAGCTGTCACTTCCCCCCAGCTAAAAGAAACAAAATTTCTTTTTAGTTTATTTCCCTGAGTTAAAAGAAACAATGTTTCCTTTCAGTTTTAGAAAGTGACAGCTAATTCTGTGAGCTATAGTGAGGAAAAAAAAAAAAAGCCGACAATTGCATTTAACCACCTCCCGTCCGTTGTATATAAACGGCCGGACAGTGGCAGTGCAGGAGCGGGTGGCTGTTTATAAACAGCCTCCCCACCCCCTACTTGTGCTCGCTCCCTGGGAGCGCACAGCACCGCAATCCGGTGCCTGCTGTGTCCTCCGGACACAATGGAACACTGATCATCATACGTCTGGGACCTCTGTGCGAGGTCCAGATCATGTGATCACTGATTGGCCGATCAGTGATCACATGCAGAGTAGTAAGCAAGATGTCACTTCTGACATCATTGCTTACTACGTGTGAAATCTGTGAATGATCACAGAGGTCACACGGTACAGGGCTATTCACAACAGCCTTGTACCATGTGACAAGCTGTGACCAATCACAGCTCACACAGTAGTTCTCAATGGCTGCAAGAATGCAGCCAGAGAGAAGGAGAAATGATTGCTTTTACAGCCTTTATGGGTTTAAAAGCAATCAGTGTAAGAAAAAAAAAAAAAAAATCTTCATCACCATGGTGACCCTGTACTGCTAGAGTGACAGTATGTAAAAAAAAACAAAACATAAATAATAATATAAACAAATAAAATAAAAATGTAAAAAAAAAAAATTTTTTAAATTATTATTTTTAGTTATAAACTCATTTGGGTTATTTTTTTTTTTTACTAAAAAGATAA